TGACGTCTGTCGCTGTCGCTCCATGTCTATTACTTAGCCACTTATCATCTTTTAATAATTATCATCGCTCATACTCTTACGTTTTCCTATTATCATATCACTGACGACTCTTATTTGTTGCATTCATTATAGGAATCCACATCGTTGCATTGTTCGACCCGTCGAGCATGGACGCCGGGATAGGTGGAATAGGCATGCTTTCAAAGTTGGTTACGAAAGCAGACCAGGCTTCAAGTCTTCGACCCTCGCGCATCAATGTAATTTTTTTTTCTTCGTGGACTTGCAAAGCTGCTTCGTGACATTCTACATACTCTTCCACTGTCCCTGCTTGTCCTGGTCTTCCGTAAATTCGCACGTCATACACGTCGATTTCCGTGAGCCTCACGACAACTACAAATAATTTACATCCACCAACTTCGCATCTTACTATTGACTCATATTCGTATGGAAACGGACCGTTTCTTGTTGTGAGAGATGCCCCTGCAGGCACTGCGATGGGAGTGATGCGCGTCATTGTTGTATAAGGTTTGCGTATTATTGTCTCCTATTGTAATGTTGAGCACTACAACCCTGCAAGATCGATTAGATAATATTGTTCAAAATTAGTTATCCGACAAATATCGACATTATTCGAACGAAGAAATTGTACTTTATGATACAACGAAGACTGTCTAAAAATATATATATAAAATAAAATAAAAAATAAATTCAAACACGTTTGTTTATGCTAGCTTTGAGCTTGTAAATTGCAAATGTTTGCGATTTTCAAAACTTCGTCCACATCATCGGCTATGTGTCCGAAATCGGATTCAACGGGGGTTTTGAGTTGAAGGGTTCAATTCCCGTTCAACTCCCGTTTCAACTCCACGTTGAACCGAGTTGAACGTGGTACAACTCGGCCCGTGGATTTTTTTTTTGCACGCAAAACATAAGTAAAAATAAAAATAAAAAATATGAGGGTGTATATTTTTTTGCTCTCTACATCCTCATATTTTTATTTTTATTTTTTGAGCATTAAAATTATTTTTAAAAAATCCAAAATAAAACCAGACTCAAAACAGATAGATTGTTTTTCGTTTTTTTTTATTGATTGATTGATTGATTGATTGGTGGGGGATGGGTCGCCCCTCCCACCCCCACCCAATCACACACACACACACACACACACACACACACACACACACACACACACACACACACACACTTTCGCCCAAGTTGCGCGGGCGGGGACCCCGCGCAACTTCGGCGCAAGTGAGTGTGTGTGTGTGTGTGTGTGTGTGTGTGT